GGTGTGGGTGTGGGTGTGGGTGTGGGTGTGGGTGTGGGGTGTGGGTGGGTGTGGGTGTGGGTGTGGGTGTGGGTGTGGGTGTGGGTGTGGGGTGTGGGTGGGTGTGGGTGTGGGTGTGGCTGTGGGTGAGGGTGTGGATGTGGATGTGGAGATTGTTATTTATAGACACCCACACCCACACCCAATTGTTCTAAGTTTTTTCAATTTTAAGATGTATTGACGATGTTTTCTTTACATTTAATCAATTAAAAGAACAGTTGGCAAATTAATCTATAAGACTAACAATTCTCATAAAAACATTATATTAACAGCTAAAATTGGCAATATCATAGACTTTTTTTGATGTTCATATAGAAAATAACGGTGGTATATTATCAACACACGTGTATTACAAAGATTCAGCAGAGTCTTACATTCCTCCATTCAAATCAGATCATCCATGCCATATATTTGCAACTATAATTAAAACCGTTCTCACACGAGCCATTCGCTACTCATCAACTTTAGAAGCACTCGATAATGAGCGTCGGAATATTCGAATGACATTACTCTACAATGGGTAACAAAAAATCTCTTCATTTAACATCTACAAAAATAATTTTACTACTTTATTAGGTACCCAACAACATTTATAGATACTCATTTTAGAAGATTTTTTTCAAATATCAAAAGATTCACACGAATACTATAGAAATTAATAAGAAATGAAAACGACTGTAAAGACATGCGAAAACAATTCCTAGGTACATCAACTACCATACACACACAAAAAGAACAATTTACAACACCAACTCTACCAGAAACTAATAAATCAAAAAATTCTACAATGTCATTTAACGAAAATGATGCATAAGACAAGCAAAACAAATCATGGAAAAAGCTACTTTTTCTACACACAAAACATGAGAAAAGATTTGAATCTGCGAAGAAAAATATACATCTAACTTGGCAAGATACACTTCATGACACAATAATCATTGAAAGAAAACTTATTGTAGCAACAAAAAAGCAATCGAACGCTTTGCCATAGACTTGTATACAAACGTCTAAAACAATATCTCCTTACAATAAAACCATCAAGATAGATAGCACAAATCAAAATGACAAGAAGTGCTAGAAACCAACCGATACATACAGATCCACAAGAAAAAAGGATAAATATATCAAAACTGTTATATGACACAGCACGAATAAAAACCATGTATCACCGTAATAAAAATTCAATATAAATGAAAAATTGATAAACAAAATAAACTCATAATAAACCATACACATAATGATACAAGTTATTAACTCTTGACAATATATTTATATCTTTAGATAAAAAATGATAAATCACAATATGTGGTTGCAATCGGTCTCACTTTAAATCAACTGCAGAAATCCGAACACGAAACACTTCAAGGATAACACAATCACATAGATCAACAACAATTTCGATCTTGGCAGCTATATTACATCACAGTTTCTTAACTGTATAACTGCTACTATGTCTCTTAATCGAGATATAGCAGTGTAGATTGTCTATATCTTGTGTTTGATTTTCGTAATCATACAGATATATACATATTTGCGATTCAAGCCAACTGATGAGTCCTCTAGCAGGGACGACATCTAGATCTTGGTAGCTATATCACACACCCAACTTCTCAAAAAGATAAATCAATAGTTTCCGTTTTACTGCGTTGGACTATTGAATAGTACGCACCCTTCTGCTCATCGTCACAGGTATAGAAGCACCCATTTGATGCTGTCCTTGTGGCATTCTACAGAATAGTTTCTCTTTGATTGTCGAAAGTAATTCAGGATATTGAAATAAACATGCGAATGGAAAAAGAAAAATGACAAAATAACCAAGAAAATAGAAATAGCGTTGAGCTTCAACACCGTACTCTGGTGGTAGACCACAAAAATGAGCCAACGAGATGAGATAAGGGGGTACATTGAAACCAATATTCAAAATTGACACAAATAATAATTGTAATATTATTCGACGATTTTTACGCCACTGATTTGAACGACGAAGACGTTGTCTTTGTAAATGAACACGTACAAGAAATGAAATACTGGCAACGGCTTCAATTAAAACGGGTGCAGTAGTATTGACAATATATTCCCACATACCAAGAATACCATATGATTCATAGCATGGATTTGGATTGCACATTGGTAGTGTATAATCATACGTATTTTGACAAGGTAAAAAGAACATGACAACAATATAGAATATTAGAAAATACAGGACTATAATGATCATAGGAAAATAATGAAAAAAAAGGCGCCCTCTTCTCGTTGAAACTAATCGATCATGAAATATTAGGATGTGTCTTTCGATAGCCAACCATGTCATTAGATTCATACCTTCGAAATAAAAGCCATAATCAATGAACCACCAAGTGAGACACACTGCAGGTCGCGGTGGTTCAACATGACCAAGATGAAAAAACATCAGAAAAAAATTGATATCAATTGATATAATAGGAAAATTAAAGAGAAGTATAAGAAGAATGCAATGATTGTGTATTGCAGAACGTTGAGTTCGACTTTTAATGATATAAATAATGATGCAAATAGAGCAGATAATCGATGGAACATCAAATAAAAGGAATAGCCAAAAACGAACGGGACGAGGAATAGAAACTTCCATAAAGCCAGATGAACTATTATAACTGTTCGAACTATTATCGATGGACATCTTCGTGGCTGTACTAATAAACTGAGATGAGCTGAGTGTTTTTCAGACAAGAGAAAAAAATGATCATCTGAAAGAAAATTCTCGATTCATCAATGTTTTATATTGTTAACGCATATTTATTCTACTGGGAAGAACATAATTAAAATAGCTGTCTTATAGAATATTCGTCAAAACACTTCTAAATAGTAGTTAAAACTTTCTGCTTCTTTCCCTATTGCATTCGTAGAAATCATTATCGATGATAGATTGAACAATAAAGCACTCAAGTCAATACTGTATCGCAAGTACATAACAGAAGATCATGTATATACCTGGCACACCATTTTAATTCATGTATATATCGCTTTGATTAATGATCTCAACGTTTATTGTTTGCTCTACTAAAGATGTATATGTTCACTTGTTGTTTACAATTATTAGAAAATTAAATATCTTTAGCATAGACAGATCAGTAAAGCGGAAGTGTCTTTTTTGTTTTTGAAATATCTCTAGCATAGACAGATCAGTAAAGCAGAAGTTTTTTTTTCTTTTTAAATATGTGTAGCATAGAGGGGTTAGTAAAACAGAGGTGTTTTTTTCTTTCTTTGTTTGTCAGATTGATTATAATTTTCTTATTAAGATTGAAAGTCTAGAAAATGGACATCAAGACAATATGCACACTCCGGCTCTCAATACAGCTAAGGAAAGAGCTGGGTGTGGGTGGGTGTGGGTGTGAATGCGCATCTTGATCAGTTCTTTTTCCCACACCCACCCACACACCATCCAAAACCTACTGATCTACATATCTGTAGTGAAATTCGGATCATGGTAGCTGTTCTCACTGCTGTCTATGTGCTTATCATTATGTATCTGAGTTTTTTCTTGGATATATGACAGTATAACTGGGTTTTGTAATCATTTGATCATCTAAACTCTTTGCCATCTGATGATCTGCTTTGCAGCAATGAAATTCGGATCATGGTAGCTGTTCTTAACCATCATCATCAATAATTTATTTTAATGATCTAGAATTATTGCATATGTCATTAGGGACCTGCTTGGAAACAAGAACAACACTAAATCAACTGTTAGCGTATTTTACATCTGCGAAGCATACATCATTGCAACGATTCCTATTTTGTACAGAAAGGTTTCATTTTCACATCATAGAGAAACCGTTATAATCATCCTTATATTCAAGTATTTCTAACTGTCCGATTCGATTCATCAGACAAAAAGTTAACAAAACGTTCGTCCACACTCTGAATACTTTGGCTTTTAGTTTGTAACGTTATTTTAGTTACAAAACATTGACAAAACTATGACTGCCTATCTGTTACATATTATTCCATGGAATAACGAAGATACAGGATTTCAAGAAGTAACCTATTTATCATTTTTAAGGATAAAAATTGTACAATCTTTCAAAGTTCTCTGCGAAGTACACTGTAATTTTAATAGCAGGATATGGTACCATCTATAAAAGTCTCAGACAACGTACAAAATATGAATTCAATCCATCTATTCAAAGCTCTTTCCTTAGCTGTATTGAGAGCCGGAGTGTGCATATTGTCTTGATGTCCATTTTCTAGACTTTCAATCTTAATAAGAAAATTATAATCAATCTGACAAACAAAGAAAGAAAAAAACACCTCTGTTTTACTAACCCCTCTATGCTACACATATTTAAAAAGAAAAAAAAACTTCTGCTTTACTGATCTGTCTATGCTAGAGATATTTCAAAAACAAAAAAGACACTTCCGCTTTACTGATCTGTCTATGCTAGAGATATTTAATTTTCTAATAATTGTAAACAACAAGTGAACATATACATCTTTAGTAGAGCAAACAATAAACGTTGAGAACATTAATCAAAGCGATATATACATGAATTAAAATGGTGTGCCTAGTATATACATGATCTTCTGTTATGTACTTGCGATACAGTATTGACTTGAGTGCTTTATTGTTCAATCTATCATCGATAATGATTTCTATGAATGCAATAGGAAAAGAAGCAGAAAGTTTTAACTGCTATTTAGAAGTGTTTTGACGAATATTCTATAAGACAGCCGTTTTAATTATGTTCTTCCCAGTAGAAAAAATATGCGTTAACAATATAAAACATTGATGAATCGAGAGTTTTCTTTCAGATCATCATTTTTTTCTCTTGTCTGAAAAACGCTCAGCTCATTTCAGTTTATTAGTACAGTCACGAAGATGTCCATCGATAATAGTTCGGGTGTGGGTGGACACCCATACCCTCTTTGCAATTGAATGAAGCTTTCATAATATGAATTGTGATGAGTAACATATTCTAGAATATCATTAATATCTATATAAAAAGTTTCACTTAGTATTTCTAAAACGATCTTGGCTGGGTGTGGGTGTGAGTGTGAGTGTGGGGTGTGGTGGTAGTTACTGCTAATATTCTTCTAAAGAGCCCACATCCACACCCACACCCACCCTAGAGTATTACTCACTTTAAAACAGTATGTATAACATGGTTAGGCTAGGAAGATTCTTGAAGAAAATGAATCTTTGTAATTAGAAGATCATTTAGAAAATATGTACATTTAAAACAAGATTTGTTTCTTGATGTTATTAGAAATGTTCTCAGTGAAAATAAATCATTCTTAACAAGATTCTATTGAAGAACATTGCTCAATTGGAGATTAAATATGTTCATAGATTGAAAGATATTTTATCTTTTCATAAGATGAATAATTTTAAGTAGAAAACGATTCAATAATGTCAAACAATTCAACTAGAAGAGTCTCATTTGATAATATGATAATAATATATTAACAAAATGAATTGTTTTCACCATGATTCCATACAGGAATAATATTGATTTCGGTACAAGATATATCATTTAATTACATCAAAAATATCCTTTATCAAAACCACTCATTCTAATTAAAATATCATTCAAGAATGTAACGAACTCCAGAACGAAATGATTCACCTAATTATGAGACTAATTGTCTTTTAATAAAATAAATAATTGTAATAAAGTATATGTTCACAAAATAACATTTCAAAAAATAGAAGTTTATCATCTCGCTATGTGATAATGATCTTTTTAAAAAAATGAATTGTTCAAACCAGGATTTCATTCAATTCAAAACAAAGATTTTTATTTGGTGATGTTAAAGAAAACTTTTATTGAAATGTATCGTTTCAATCAAACTTTCATTCACGAAAATGAATCATTTCAAAACTAATTATAATACGAAATGACAGTATTTGAAATATTTTTGATTAAATGAATTATTATAAGTATCATTTGTTCACATGTCACATTTACTTCAAAAGAAAGGAAGTCATACAGTCATATTGGAAGGGTATTTGGAATAATGTATCTTATTAAATATGGTTTATTTCAAGATTATCAAGAAGTTATAATCGAAGTCTCTTATTTCATAATACGAAAAGAAATCCGTATATAAAATGAATCTTCCTAAAAAGGATTTCATTAGAAAATACCGCCGACTTGGAAATACATTGTATCGTCAAATCATATTAAAAAGATTTTTTGAGGAAATCAACTATTCTAATGAGAGTTTCATTCAATAATATGATTATATTCAAAACAATGAAGATAACTTACTTTGAACAGAAAGATCTTTAAAAAAAAATAAATCAATATAAGGAGATTTGTGTTCAAAAACTTGAGCCACTATGAAGTGAAATATATCATTAGATCATATCAAAAAACATATTTCAACATATTGAATCATTAAAAAAGATGTATTTTTCAAAAAAAAATCACTTGATTCAAAAGAAAATAAATGTTATGGTAAATCAATAACATTTTCAGAGAAAATGAATTATTTTAAGCAGATTTATATTCAATAATATTATTTATTTCGAAAAGAACTATATAAATCGTTTATGGAAAGGAATCTTCTCAGCAGAAATAAATTGTTTGAAGTAGAATTCAATTCAAAAATATCACTTATTTCGAAAAAAATGTATTATTTAAATAAGTCATATTATAATATATAATAAAATGAATAGTTATAAGCAGGATTTTATTCAAAAATATGAATAACTAAGAAGAAAAATATAACAGTTAGGAACTTATGAAAGACTTATTTTCATAATGAATTACTTTAATTAGATTTGTATTCGAAAATGAAACTCATTTGAAAAGAAATTGTTTTGAAATATTCAAGTTATGCAGGTCTTTCGATAAAATGAATTTTTTTCAGGAATATTTTATTCAATATTCTTACTCACTTTAAAACAATCAATATAGCCGGGACAAACAAGAAATGTCGTTCAAGAAAATGAATTATTGTAAAGAAGATATCATTCGATAATATTAATCAATATAGAAAAAAAGTTTATTACCTTATGATATCAATTAAAGATTTTGATTGAGTGAATCGTTGAAAAAAAAGTTTTATTCAAGAATCTTATCTAATTCGAAACGAATTTTATAATTTAATCATATTAAAACAGTTTTTTTGATCTTATGAATCAATAGAATAATAGATGTGTTCAAGATAACCAGTCAGTTTTAAATCAAA